CAGATGTCCTATCATAGCTCACACAGAACAATAGCCTCTTTTATTGTAACAGCACGGTGCTTGGTGACTGGCCCAGTGCTGTCACATGAAGCAAGTCACATGTTCCTCTATACCTGGAAGTACCAAGTATTTTCCTTACTTCTGCTATCTGAATGGGTCAACAGGGGAACAAAGTAGAGGTAAGTATATGTGCTGCTAGAAAGCTGAGATTTAAAGTACGCATGTTGCTTTGCTCTACAGGGGCAATTCATAGGCTTGCTTTAACAAACAACCTACCTGTCAGCATAAAATTTTGGGAACTGCCATTTCTAATTTGTAGGTACAGGCTCTGAGGTTTTCATCTGTATCCTTTCTCCGCTGTTTAATGAAGACATACTTTAAATGCTTTTAATTGTTCACATGCCAATAAAGTAAAACAGCCTATACGTTTCAAGGGCTGCACCATTCCCCCCGTCATCAGGGCCTGGAAAAAATGGTGATCTCTGGTCTGGTTTACACTTTCCCTTTGGATTGCAATTATTCTTTGTGCTCAGCGGTGGCTTATTTAAAAACCTTCTTTGCATTTGATTTTTTGACAAAGCATTGAAATCCCATCACCTCTTCAACTGTTCTTTCTGCTATTTAGTAAATCACTAGTCCAAAACAAACTCGTGCAGAGCAAATGTCCAAAAAACCTGATATGTAAATTCTTGTTTCAGGTCACTGACTCACTACGTACTAAAGCAAGGATAAGGATGACAGATCCAGGGCTCATATCTTTACAATACAAGTTAGCAATGGCGTCACCCAAATTTGTATTCTGGTAGGGCTGATTTAGCATTGAATTCCATATGATAGTATATTAACCATGACATCTTTTATAGCACATACATAATTCAGGGTGTGGATTGTGACGTGACATTGGAAAACCCACAACCCATGGCTGATAATTCACAAATAGAATTAATGACACTATACATTTTAATCTATTTAACCCTTATCTTGGTGGGTAAAGAGTTTCAGGTCCTTGGCATTTACCTATGTGGATAATGTGGATTCCTATGTGGTTCTGTGGATAATCCTTGGCTGGTCGTGTTCAGCACATAGAGACTTGACATATGGGAAATATAAAGAAGGTCACTACTAAAATGCTAGTTGCCTGCTTGTCTCTACCTATATAGTATAGTCTCAGTGACTGACTGGTAACAAGCATGGAGCAAGTCAAAATTAAGTCCTCCTCTGCATTGGTATCCAGGTCACCAATCATAATCAAGCTAGAGTCTTAGCATAGCAGCCAAGCAATAAGCATTTTTATCTAGAGGTCAGCAATGTCAGACTACATATTTTCTTGCTTTTAAACTTGTGCCTAGACTATCAGCATAAAAGTATTTACATATACCTAACAAGCAGTAGAAGAGCTTTAAAGAAGCCAACTCTGACCTCTGTAAGTGCATGTACTGTGAAGTAATACATGCTCAAAAAGTCTCTCACATCACAAGAAAGACTATAAATTAGGGTTTTAATTAGCTTCAAACAGCTTATAGCCCAACTACAAGAAATCTGAAAATTCTGAAGGCACTGCTCTAGTGCAAGGATTAACTGCTCATTTAGTCTAGGGGGAGAATAACATTACTTTTATCTACCTAATTTCTCCACTCTCCCGGCAGACACACTCCCCTATGTTCTGCAGCGGACTGTCCTTAGGCATCCTAATGTCCAATAGAGGACCGTAGACCTTGCATCAGTCTTGAAGATGTTAAGGCCCTTGGTTTCTGAAGTATAGGAGAGAGAAGAGGCTGCCAAGATCTTGCAGTGCAGAGGATTAGGTAAGAAAATCTACTTTTCTATGCCCCCTGGACCTAAGCAAGTGGTCAACCCTTGCAGTGAGGATGCAGCCCCACTACATAGGAGCATTTCAACTTTATTGGAGTTCAGCTTTAAAAACATCTTCTCAGATTACGTTAGATGGCTGGTAAACTGCATAGATTCTGCTGCAATACAAAATAATAAAGGTTAAGATTTCAGTATTTCTGTTGTGAACTTTGAAATTACATTTTTTCACAATCCCTGTAGCTACAAACGTGAATGATGGATAGTTTTAAATGCTTTTACTGCTTTTGAGAATATGTAAATACTTTAGTGTGAATAGTCTGGGTACAGGGTAATTGTAAGCAGGGAGGGGGGGGGGCAGTTGCCTTGGGTGGTGCATTAAGAGGGGCACCTCCGCTGGGGGGGGGGGGGGGCACCCACACTGGATACCTGGTCTAAGTGCCACCTCCACCCGATCAAGTCTAAAGGACAAGTGGCACCCACTTCAAATACTGGAGAAACAAGTAGGAGGGAGACCACACAGCGCACCAGCGCTGAAACACTCCACCTGCCTGCCCCATACAAAAGCATTCCTCAGTGACATTTCAGCTATTGTTGCTTAGCAACATAGTAATAATAGCTGAAGCGTCACTCAGTGGTGCTTTTCTATGGGGTGGGCGGACGGAGTGACTCAGCGCTGGTGCACTGTGCAGTCTCCCTCCTACGTGTACTCCGGTTTTTACAGCAGGCTCAACTTGTCCTTTGGACTTGATCGGGCGGGCGGCGGTGGTACTTGGAGCAGCTGTACCCAGTGCAGGCGGAGGTGGCACCCCCAGAATCAGGAGGAGCGGAGTGATTCAGCACTGTGAGGCTCCCACCTAGTCCTGTTCAGTGCCAAAACAGCCCATGCCTTTTCTGAGTGAGATAGCCCAGACTGCAGTAAAAATGTTCATGGGAGAGCCTGCCTCAAACTCAAACTGAAAGGAATTTATTAGGAGAGGGAGTTTGTGTGCAGAAGGCCCTGGACTAGGAAGGTGGGGGGGGGGGGTACAGAGAAGGAACTGGATGAGGGGGGTGCAGAGGAGGCCCTGGATTAGGAGTTGGGGTGCAGAGGAGGTCCTGGTCTGGGGGGTGCAGAGGAGGCCCTGGACTACAGGGGGGGAGGGTTGCAGAGGAGGCCCTGGACTAGAAAAGTGAGGGGGTTGGTGTGGAAAAGACCCTGGATTAGGAGTTAGGATGCAAAGGAGGCCCTGAACTTGAGGATGCTGCAGATGAGGCCTTGGATTTGGAGGGGGGTGCAGAGGGGGCCCTGAACTTGGGGGGGGGGGCTGCAGAGGAGGCCCTGGACTTGGAGGGGGGTGCAGAGGAAGCCCTGAACTTGGCGGGTGCAGAGGAGGCATTGAACTAGGAAAAGTGGGTTGGTGTGGCAAAGGTCCTGGACTGGGGGGAACAAAGGAGACTCTGGACTAGATGAGGGAGTGTCTGAGGTCTCAGACTAGAAAAGGGGGTGCCAGGAGGCCCTGGACTAGGACAATGGGTATCTAGAGGTCCTGGACAAGGAGAGGGGGAGCATGAAGGCCCTGGACTAGTAAAGAAATCTGACAACACCCACAGTTTTGTTGCAGAGCACAAAGTGCCCTGCTGTATTACCACATACCATTTTTTGGGGGGAAGGGGGGGTACAAAAAAATGACCAGCCCTGGGTGCCATATGAGCTAGCTATGCCACTCACTGTAAGGATGAATCCATTATATTCAAGCTGGGCACTTATTATACCTAAAGCAAACCTGCTATATGATTTGGTAAACACTTTCTTTATCACATACCTATAGTGTGTATTTGTTCAATTCATATTTTGATGTGTGTTTAACCTAGAATTATACTCAAGCACACTGATGCAAGAAAATACAAACAAGAAATAATGAAGATGCAAATGCCAAGTGATGCGTTTAAAACAAGGTATGAAAAGTCTTTAAGTTAGGTTTCTTCTGATTATATTTTTAATCAAAGTAGATGTTACCAGACAGAAATTACAGCAGTAGCACTTGGCCTACTGAACTACAACTAGCTTTTCATCAACAGCTTCTGGACCACAAAATTTAACATGAAGACAGTGCTTTATGGTCACTTTGTTGCACAAAAGCCATCAACCTTAAATTCCATAGTTAAAGCAGCCTGACTAGTAGTGGCATCACTAATGTTTTACATTTTTTATTTAACACCCGAATGAGTCTATTTAAGAAGCAGTTTAATAATCTTCAGTAATGGGCATGACAATGGACTAATGTGTTTCCTATAAGATCTTAAGTTCTTGGATCAAAAATTAATTTTAAGATCAATCACATTAATCCAAAATCTTAGCATGACCTAGAAGATCTAAAATCAATAGATGGGCAAAATACATGTAAACATAAACAGAGAACAGTAAAACAACTTTACGGGAGTATTACATGACAGGTACAATTTGTCACTTCTCACCATACGAGAAAACAGTAACATTTTATGTTTTGTTTCTTGCAATTATTTTTTCTGTTGCTATTACAATTTAAGGACACTTTAGTCCTTAAAACTTTTCAACACCAATTTTCAAAGGATATATATATATATATATATATATATATATATATATAATTTTTATAAATTTTTACAAGAACAAATCTCAGTGACTCAGGTGAGTCATCTAGAACTGGCTGAGACTATATAACATCAAATATTCATAAGTAATTATAACAAAAGCAGCATATCATGTATAGCACTCACAACAACTGGATTCCCACTGTTTGCACAGTAACATGATAACAGTTCATAGGCATTCTAACTATAAAAGGCTGGAGCTTTACTTCAAAAAAGCTCAGTTCATTTTCTGGTGCACGTATATATTCACGGTGATGAGTTTTCATAAAGCCAATAGCATGCAGCAGCTTTTATGACCGGGTTATATCAAAAGGCATTAAAAGACCTCTGGGCCTGCTTTGGCTAAACAGTAATTCTTTGTTCGGGTGTAATTTTTTTCTTTTTTTTTTTTATTGTACACCACGAACACATACACAGCACTGGCCAAACACAGCTGTAAGGTCAACAGTTAATAAAAAGGGGAAAAGGTAGCTCCAGGATTTGGAACTGAGCTGCATTAGTAGTCACCATGCCCACTGTGGTCTTCACAACACTATGGCCAATATTCTTGCCATAATACTTTCTTGATTTAAAGTCATTCATGGCAGCTTGTTGTGGCTGGGTGGATGCTGCCCATACCAATATAGTTTATCTTCCACACTTTTTTTCTTCCAGCGGCAAAGCAACAACATTTTGAAAGTCTTGCGGAAGGTTTTGTTGCACAGGGCATAGCAAATTGGGTTAACTGTGCTATTAACATAGCACAACCAATAACCCAGGTGCCAAAGAGTGGAGGGGATACAGTCAGAACAAAAGGTAGACACCAGAACCATGATGTTGTAAGGAGTCCAAGTAATGATAAAAGCTAGGAGAATAGCACTTAGTGTCTGAGCTGCTTTGCGTTCCTTAATAAGAACCATCCTTTTGCGCTTCGTAATATGATTGCTAAAGCTGGGGTCCATGCTTCGCAAAGAGTGTGCTTTAGACATGGAGGAGCAAGGAGTGATTTTTACTTTTCTGCACCCATTATTCACTTCCTGAGAGCCATCGTCATTCACAACAATTCTAAACTTATAAGAAACACACTTTTGACTTTTCTGTGCATGAGCTTTATTTGGGGTTAAAAAGAATCTTTCACTATCATATTCATTAAGTGTTGCTTGCTCTTTTGTGAGAATATGTTTGGTTTCCTCTTCTTTCTGAGCTGCAGTTTGGTTCTTGTAGGCACCCTGGAAGACACCCTCCTTAGCTTGTTTGTCCTCATCATCCGAGGAGGGGTAGCTGCTGCAAGTAGTCAGCTGATCTTCCTTCACCCACTCATTGGAAATATTTGGACTGTGGGAGAGCTTGACAGTGGCAGATGTACTACGACTGGAAGATGACCAAGAAGCTTGACACCGCTCTCTTTTGGTGAGAGTCTGCTGCTTGCAGCTAAAACAGGATTTAAGGAGAGCCCCTTGTGGCCTCATCATTTCAAAATCTGCAACTGACTCAGAACCCTGCAGCTCAGCCAGATCTTTGGTTCGCTTTTCTGTCTCCTTATAGATGCGGCAGTATAGAATGGTCATCACCGACACTGGAATGTAAAAGGCAGCAATGGCCGTGCCAAAGGTAATTATTGGTTCGTAAAGGAACTGTATTTGACATTCCTCTGGGGGCACTGTGCGTTCTCCTACAAAATACTGCCAACAGAGGATAGCTGGGGCCCACAAGATGAAAGAAATTAACCAGGCCAGTCCAATCATGATCCCAGCTCTCTTAGGTGTACGCTTTGCTCTGTAAGTTAATGGTCTTGTTATAGAAAAATACCTGTCAAAACTAATGACCAACAGGTTCATCACTGATGCGTTACTTGCTACATAATCCAAAGCAAGCCACAGATCGCATGCCAGGCTGCCCAGGGACCAGTGGCCTATCAAAATGTAGGATGTGTACAGATTCATTGAGAATATGCCAATGATGAGGTCCGCACAAGCCAAGCTTAGAAGGTAATAGTTGTTTACAGTCTTCAGCTGACTGTTTACCTTAAATGACACCATAACAAGAATATTGCCCACAATTGTGATGAGACTAACTACGGCACTGACTGTGGCAATTGTGATAACCTCCCACAGGCTGTGAGCTTTTAGATGATTTGTCCCATTAGTGGGGTTCAAAGAGGTGGAATTTGAATCCATAGTCCTCCTTATCCTAAAGATGTCGACACCAATGACCAGTTAAGCAGGATCTGAAAATATAAAAAAATAAAACAGTGATATTAGCATTATGAATTTGTTAAATTAGATAAAGAACAGGACATGTATACATAATATATATTTACATTGATTCTGTAATATTTTAGCTAGCACTGTAACCACTTACCACTCGCCCACCAGCAATGTACTGCGGACAAGTGGTCAATGTAGGCAAAGCGATGTACCCGTATTTTGCTGCCTACTTCTGGGTTTTGGGCATGCACACAAGCACTCCCCAGCTGGCACCCGCTGTGATTGTACACAGCAGGAACCTGTCAGCAAGCCAATGATTCACAGCCAGGACCTGCTGATCGGCTGTGTTCAATCATAACACAGAGCTCTGTGTTGACAATCAGCACAGATCTCTATATAAAGAGACCGATCCCTGTGTTTGTTAGCCTGCAAAGCAGGGATGAGATACTTAGAGCTCTGTTAGTAAAAGTAGCAGACTTTATACACATTGTACATAGTTAGGCATACATTTAACCCCTTGATCGCCTTAGGTATTAACCCCTTCCCAGCCAGTGTCATTAGTATAGTGACAGTGTATAATATTATCACTGATCACTGTATTAATGTCACTGGTGATATCATTGACAGTTAGTCATTTCCCCCCAACATCGGTTAGTATCAGGTTGCCTGCCACACCATCACAGTCCCATCATTAGTCACTGATCACTGCCATTAGTAGTATAAAAAATAAATAAATAAAAATTCCAGTAATATATCCCATAGTTTGTAGGCACAATAACTCAGTCAGAAGGTACAGCCAACTTGTGACTGATTAATATTAGTCTGGTGCCCACACTGTCATTTTAATCCACAATCTTTGTTCCTATTGACCAGTATTTCCTCCTATAACTACCAACACAAGCCCTGGTGAAAGGGGATTTGTGAGCTCCCAAAGCACATTGGCTCTACCTACTGATTTGTTATCAAGATTGATATATTTTTACCGGATCATTTATAAACTTGTAGCTCTCTCTGACTTTTGTTAGATCGTTCCAAGAACCCATAGAGGTACTCTGTTTGTTAGAGAGCTGCCTCTCAAGACTAGCAGTTGCATCAGATCACACTTCTCTCTGGGTCCAAAACTCCTTCAACAGCTATTTTAAACAACAATATATGTAATATAATATGTAATATAAAAGCACATTCGGAAGTCACCAAGACTTGTTCAGAATCAACATTTTCTATGGGTCCCTATACTACAAAATACTCCCACAAATGCGGGCCATTGATTGCAAACAAGTTTTGTTAATTTGCACACACAAAAAAATTATTTTTCCTAACAAATTAATTCAAGACTATGTTGCAAAAATGAATAGACCTCATTGAAAGTCTTAGGAGCAAAGCTACATTTTAGACAACAAAATCCTAATTAACAAGAATTTAACGACAGGTGAATCTAATTATTCATTAAACAGGTGTCCAGCAGATAGTTGATCATAAAAGAGTGTTACGTAACTAAGGAAACCCCTTCCTATTTCATGCTGCCAGCAATGGCACCACATGGAAGAGAAATGTCACAAGGCCTGAGAAAGAAAATAATTTATTTACACAAAAAAGGTGAAGGCTGAAAGAAGATCAGCAAAGCTTTACTTATCAGTCAGAATACCATAGCAAAAGTGATACAAAAATTTAACAAAGATGAAACTGCAACCATCTCACAAAGACGTCCAGGCTGTCCACAGAAGTTAACACACGGCAGGAGCGTCTTCTGATGAGAAATGTTGAAGACAATAACCATGCAAATTCACTGCAGTTAGCTAAAGAAGCAGAAAGCTAAACATGGGTGATTGCTTCCCACAACACAATATGGCATACACTGCAGAGGACAGGCATTCATAAGTGTCATCCTTGAAGGAAGCCTCTCCTAAAGCCCATGCACAAAAAAGCCGACTAGCATTTGCCAGGGCCCATGCTGAAAAAGAAGACGACTACTGGGACTCTGTTCTCTGGAGTGATGAGACCAAGATAAATGTTTTTGGACCTGATGGCTTCAAAACTGTATGGTGTCACAAAGGTGAAGAGTGTAAAGGCAAATGCATGGTGCCTACATTGAATCATGGTGGTGGCAGTGTCCTTCTGTGGGGTTGCATGAGTGTCAGGGAGCTGAACTTCATTGATGGTATCATGAATTCACAGATGTACTGCTCTATATAGAAAGAGAAGCTGCTACCCTCACTCTGTGCCCTTGGCTGTCGTGCACTGTTCCAACATGACAATGGTCCAAAACACACATCTAAGGCCACTGTCACATTTTTGAAGAAGAACAGGGTGAAAGTGATTCAGTGGCCAAGAATGTCAAACACCTATGAGGAATTCTGAAGAGACAAGTTGAGCATCACTCTTCAACCAGCATCCAGGCTCTAAAAGAGGTCGTTCTTGAAGAATGGAAAAAGATAGAAATTGCAAAAAGTCGCCAACGTGTTCATTCCATGCCTAGGAGACTTGGTGCTGTTCTTACAAATCATGGAGGTCATATAAAATACTAGATGTAGTAGTTTTTGTTATGGGGTGTATTCATTTTTGCATCAACTAATTTGAGTAAAACTGAAGATTTTGTAATCTAAGTTATAATAACTTTACTTTCATGTAATGAGCTAAAGAAATGTTCTATAAAACTCAGTTTTGTCAAAATATTGCAAATTGTTCTTATGTTCATTGAGATATTGATTAAAATCATATTTTTCAAAAGTGGTGTACTAATTTATGCTGTGCGCTGTAGTTTCAGCAGATCAGGAGTTTCTGACACAAGTTTTTAACTAACACAATTGTTCATCACAGTTAAAGAATATGTAAAACCAACATTTCATATTCCTGGTAGGTGCCTGCTGTACCATGTACTTGTATGAAAAAGTGTCCTTTGTGTGAGGTCTATGGTGTTCCTGCCAGTCCCTCTGCGTTCCTATCAAAAACTGACCACGCTAGGCATGAGAGCACAGTGTGGTCAGTTCTCTAGCTGTGCTGAAAACTTAGCCTGCTCTCCTCCAATGATCAGATTTGTCTTCCCCCCCTGCACAGACTTTTATTTTTCATTGGGAAGATCAGTGTACTACTGTTTCTCCTTCCCTAACTCTTATGCAGCTGAGAACAGAAGGAATGTTATCTCTTCTAAAAAAAGAGGAAAACAAGGTATTTATAATTTTTTTTTAATATCTATACACACATGTTTTGCCTTGCATTTCTATTTAAAACTGAATGGGTTTCCACTCAAAGTGCAGAATTTATACAGCTTGTCTGAGAGTTCAGAAAAAGGGAGTGGAGATATGAAGTTACAGGCTGCAGAGCTCAGTAAGGAGAGCTCTGAAAGCTGATTGGAAGGAAGAGACACACCTCCCTCTACACAGCACACAGGAACTGAGCTTAGGCTGTCAGTCTGCTGGAGATCCCTCCCCTGTCTCTTTTTTTCTGTTGGTGTCAGAAAAACTTGTCAAAAGTGACTCATACAGATAACAGAGGAAAAAGCAGCATAGATAAATGAGACTCAGTTCTCTGGATTGAGAAAAGTACACACTATAGAAGGATATACTTTGTTCATATTTCATGACTGAGGTTTGCAACCACTTTAAATCACCCAGCCAGGCCCCATACCTGATAGCACTTCGTCCTCTTCAGCCAGTGACATTAGTCTATTCTTACCTGTACTGGCATCAGAATACAGAGTATTTTCTCAGATTAACAGTGTGAAACACTAAAAATCCTCCACTAGTTCTTTAGAACAGCACACATCTCTTGCTCCAACCCATAGGTTTGAAAAGGGAAAATCATACACATGCAAAGCCTTGCCTCTGCCATGGTCATGCTCCTGTCCCTAGGAAAGTTCTGTACCTCAGCAGCCCTAGAATAGGAGCCCACCCTTCAGTCCAGATCCCTCCGTCACTGACCACCTCCCTTTCCGAACTGACTTCTCTTCTGTCTATACATTGTTGTTGCACAAGCACATAAAACACTATTATTTAGTTGCGCTTCATTCCCCTCATTACACACACTGTGTTGGCACATATGAGCTTAACTTCATTAGGCTAGGTTCACATATATGCGGCTCTGCGAGCTGCATTTTTCATTTTCACCCTCATTTACATCCTATAACATAATCCTCTAATTCTGGCAGAGTACAAGAGCCCTAACTCTTTACTGAAAACCTACTCACAGCTAGGGAAAAGTGGCTAATCTACTAAAGATGACTTCTATGCCCATATACTGTATGCTTCGAATGACCTTAGAAAATATTATGACCTTTTTTTTTGATGTATGGTAACAACACATAACTGACTACTTTTTAAAAGCAAATCTTCACTCAAATATATGACACTCTATGAACACACAGAGAAGATGAGAAGACAGAGATGCTTTCCCTTGCATTCTCTATCTCAGTTTTTATTCCTGGCTAATATAGTACATCTTTTTTTCATTTTTCTTGCTACACCGTATAAGATCCTCACACAAAAGAAACTGGCCTCAATTTTCTACTACCACGTAAACTGATGCTTGATAAACAAAGATAAACACTTCAAAGCTTTTATAGCACATTACTTGCAGTGTAGATGCTGTCGGAAGCCATAGTTTTAGAGTTCTGGTTTAAGGTGTCCTAAGACACTTGGATATAAATACTGTATTATCTTCCTGACACTCATTGGAACTGAAGAAAAGGCTTGAATAAGCTACTATGACACATCTTAAATGTTACAGAACAAGTCAAGTTGAATGTGACTAACTACTACTAGCTACAGTATGTCAAGAACTGGATAAATGATATAGCAAGACCTTTCCTTAGTTGGTGTTAATTGTGTGGACTCTTTCTTCTGAGGTTGTACAACTGCTGCATGCAACAGTTCGGTCAGAGTTTTAACAGATCCAAATACATAATTTGAACATGTACATAAATCTGTTGCATGTTCCAACATTTTTTGCACTACCAAGAAACAGACATATCTATGATGCTCTTTTTGAATTTCCTTGTTTTAGTTCTTGAAAATATAGACACCCCGTGTGCAGCACAATCACACAAATATCAATACTGATGAGATCTCTAATATATTTTCCTGAAGACCATATCAGTTTCAGAGTACTGCTCTTGTTATGCTTAGCTGCTGAGACAAGCCGATTGGAGGGTAGGGATATGTTGAGTGGGGTCTCAGAGAATTTAGGAGATGGTTGTGAGCCACGAGTTTCTGGTGCAGTGCAGTGCAGTGGATGAAGAAGAACCTTTGTACCCCCCTTCTTTGTGTTTTCTTTGGTTCTTTTGTACTGTGGTTGTCATTGCAGCCAGGTGGTTGTCGGTCTTTGGAAGTGGTAAAAAAATGTAGGGCTAAGTGAATGGTTCAGGGCCCATCAGTGGTATGGTGTCCTTGTGTACATTCTTGTTATATATGGTTTAACCAGGAATATGTAAATTGAGGTCACTGCGGAAAGTGAGGTTTGTCTCCAAGCCAGTGTGTTGTGGCTGGGGGCCTAGTATAGTCAAGGCTTTCCACAGTAATATAATAGGATGTGTTTTGGTGCCTTCAAAGACCAGCAAGCTCTGTTCTGTTTCTGTTTTAACAAATGCTATTGTTTAATTTTCATTGGTTAACAAAAGGCTGCTATGGATATTTTTTGACTCCAAACTTTTGGTGTGGTCTCCTTTATTTATGTAGAGGTCGGAATTTGAGGGATATGGCCTAGCAGTTATTGTCAATTTGGGAACATCTATTCTACCCTAGTCATGTGTCTTGCATATTTTTCTTTCCCTAACTCTCTTTGCTATGTTAGAGAATATATTACTAAACACGTACAAGCCATATGTCTGGAGTCAAGCTTTATTGGGGCAGGAAGCAAATAAACTTTGTATGTGAAGATAAACTTGGCAACTAATTAAGCTACAACACATTCAACATAGATTTAGCATTTAAAACTGCAGTAACAAAAGCATCAACAGAAGATTAACATCATCTAATTACACATTTAGTATTCAAAACTCTTCTCCTTTTTCACTTTTTATTCCCTAACTCTTCCCCCTCCGCTTTCTACACACAAACATTCTGTACATATATAAATTGCTAGATGAATAGTAAATGGCTGCATCATTACTAAAATGGAATGTATTTTATTAATATAAAGAGTGATACATTCAGTCATGTACATAGTACACAAAATCATTAATACTATTCCATGCGACTAAAAATTTTCAGTCCAGCATCACTCCCCCAGAGTGAGTGACACATACACTTGGCTTGAATACAATACACCTGCACCAACCTTTCTCTACCAGAGTTCCACTCCAGAGGTTTCTAGGGGTTCCTTGAGCAATGAGCAACTCCTGCCTCTTAGATGTGTAAACACTGACAATTATGTTTTTAATGATCTATAAGGGGGGATTCTTCCCAATGACCCCAAATCTAAGGAGCTTGATTCCCGGTAACAATCTTACAATTATATTGTGAGCTGTAGATATAATACTTGTTAGCAGGGGCGGACTGCCCATTTGGAAACTCAGGCACTGCCCGAGGGCCTGGGGTCAGTAGGGGGCCCCATGAGATGCCCCTGGTACCTTTTTCATAGGCTTTTTTGAGTTTGGGCAAGGACACAGGGGCCCCATGATCCCCTATTGCCCGGGGGCCCCATGAGTTGGTCGGTCCACCCCGCTTGTTAGCAATGGTTCCCTGTGCCGAGAAAGATTTTTCAAGGGTTCCCCCATGTTAAATAAGTTGAAAAAGGCTGACCTATAGACTTGATTTTGGGTATCTTACATAGTTACGTAGTTGGTAAGGTTGAATAAAGATTCCAGTCTAGTGTGTGTGTGTATCTATGCCTCTACCATTTCCCATATCCTTGTATGTTATGTTCGCTAAGATGCTCATCTGAAAGTTTTTGGAAATTGTCAACACTCCTCGCTGACAACACTGATAGTGGAAGGGAGTTCCACATCCTTACCTCACTAATAATAAAGAACCCTTTACGCAGCTTAAGGTTAAACCACTTCTCATCCAATTTCATTGAGTGTCCATGTGTCTTCTTAAGCTCCTGAAACTGAATAGTTTCCTCCCTATACTAGAATAACCACTGAGTTATTTGCATATTGTGATTATATCCCCTCTTAAGCATCTCTTCTCCAGGGTGAATAAGTTTAACGTTTGTAGTGGGTTCTCATAACTGAGGTCCTCCAGCCCTCTTATTAGCTTTGGTGCTCTTCTCTGGACTCTCTCTGGTCCCAGCACATCCTTCCTGAGAACTGGTGACCAGAACTGGATGGCATACTCAAGATGTGGCCGACCAGACTTTTGTAAAGTGGTAGAATTATAGTTGTATCACTTGTATAGATACACTTTTTAATGCAAGTTCGCCAGCCTTGCTTTCTGCAGCTTGGCATTGCATGCTGTGGCTGAGCCTGTGAACTACTAGGATCCCTAGATCCTTTTCCATCCTTGATTCCCCCAGAGGTTCTCCCCCTATCCAGTAATTTGCATTTGTATTTTTAGCTCCCTAATGTATCACATTATATTTATCAATATTAAACCTCATTTGCCATGTAGATGTAATTGAGGTCTCCTTGTAAACCTGCTATAACTTGTTGTGAAGTTATTACCCTGCCTAACTTTGTATCATCAGCAAACACCGACTGAACTATTTATACCCACCTATATACCATTTATGAACAGGTTCAAAAGAATTTGTCCCAGGACAGAACCCTAGAGCACCCTGCTCACAACTACAGATCATTCTGAATATACGCTATTTATCACCACCCTCTGGATGCACCTCTGTAACCAGTTTTCTATCCAGGTAGATACACTGTCATCAATGCTAACTGACCGTAGCTTGTAAATTAAAGGGGGGAATGTATCATATGCCTTGGCAAAATCAAGATGCACAATATCCACAGGCCTTCCTCTATCCAGATTACAGCTCAATTCCTCATAGAATGTCAATAGGTTGGTTTGGCACAATGATCCTTCCAAAATCCACACTGCTAACTATTAATGATACCATTTTTATCAACAAATTCTTGAATATACTGTAGTTCCTTATCATTCCCTCCATTCATTTACATACTATTGATGTTAGGCTGCCCAGCCTGTAATTTCCATGTAAATATCTTGGCACTTTTTTGAATAATCAGCTGATACCATTCTGGTCAGTAAGCTGTCCTTTAGGTTTAAGATTAGGAATAATGGTCTAGCAATAACATGGCTAAGTTCTTTGAGGACTCTCGGCCATCTGGTCTTGGTTATTCACATTAAGTTTTTCCAGTCTGTTTTGAATACTGGCTTCTGTTAGTCACAAGGGTACATTCTGTATTGTGTTACTAACAATACAGTCTTGCTTATTATACCCCTCCCTTTCCTTAGTAAAAACTGAGGAGAAGAATGTATTTAACACAGCTGCATTCTACTTGTCACTCATAACTAACTTCCCTTGACTATCCTTTTTGGTGCCTATATGCTCTCACTTTTCCTTTTTACAATTAATACATTTATAAATGTTTTGGAGATTCTTTATACTCTCCTCTAATACCATCTTCCTGCCTCACTGGTCTCATCTTCATGCTTCAGGTTAGGGGGCCTATAGCATACACAGTTAATTTCCCTGTTGATTCTTCCCTTTGAAGCTCCGGCCAAGAGGATTTCATCTCCTCCCTTGCCCTATTAGTTATGTCATCTTATGTGTTTACTAACAAATCACTCTTTGCATACATGCACACCCCTCCCCTATCCCTTTGATACAGGGAATAACCCTGGACAGTCGCAGGCCAGTCATGTGATCAGGTTTCTGATATTCCCACAATGTCAAAATCCTGGTCATGTATCAGTAGTTTCAGTTCTTCTATTTAATTCTCCAAATTTCTAGCATTTGTGAACATGCCTTTTAGTTTTGTATGGGCGCATGGTCTTTTCACCTTGTGTGTATTCACCTTGGGTTGCAATAGGATTCTGCCAGCCTATGCACATTGATTTTGTGTATTTTAGTTAACCTACCAAGATTGACCACTGTAATAACCTCTGATCTGTGCTCACTGCCTGGAATAACTTCCTCTGTGCCCCCCTCCCCCTTTGCCTAGTTTAAAAATTCTTCTAACTTTTTGTCATTTAGGTGCAGTCCGTCCCTACTATAGAGCCACTAACAACTGAAACTTCTGCCCAGTTCTCCAGGAACCCAAAACCCTCCTTCCTACACCAGTTCCTGAGCCATTTGTTCAATTCCCTAAGCTCCTGTTGTCTCTCTGGTATAGCTCGAGGTACAGACAGTATTTCTGAAAATACCACCTTGGAGGTCCTTTTCTTTAATATATCCACTAAGTCCCTGAAATAATTTTTTAGGATGCTTCATCTTCCTCTAATTTTGTCATTGGTACCAAAATGCACCATGACAGCTGGGTCCTCCCCAACCCCACCAACAGTCTGTCCATCCGATCTGCGATGTGCTGAACCGGAACAATGTGATGTGCTGAACAGGAGCACCAGTTAACAAGTGTTAGGCACTCACGGTCTTTGTAACAAATTGCTCTATCTGTCCTATTAATAATTGAGCCCCCTATCATCAGTATCTGTCTATCCTTTCCTGTAACCTTTCCCCATCCTCACTATAAGAGTTTTTCCTCTAGCAGCTAGGGGAGTCACTCTGCTCCAGCAATGTCACTCCTTGACTGATATTCCCAACATCACACAACCAGGTGTGTTTACTGGGGTGTGTCAGCTAATGCTGGCCTCCCTAATGCTTTTCCCTTTACCACATCTAACCGTCACCCATGTACTCTTCTCTAACGCCTGCACCTCCATCTTACCTCCCCCCTCTATGTTGGCCCTGGGTATGGTCCAAACTCTATTCAGGTTTATGATACTTCTCAGTGTTGCCAGCTGCTTTCTTAGATTTAGTATATCAGTTTCTAAGGAAACAGCTTGCTTACATTTGGCGCAGCAGTATTCCCCCGCGAACGGTTGTTTGAGGAATTTATACATGGAGCAGGATGTGCACCAAGTCATATCACCATTCCAATTGGACATGTTACTCACTAACATAACGGGTATATGAATTATATGGGTTATTGATAGTTTATCTATATTTTATTCTGAGCACCAGCTTTTTCTTGTTTGGGATCTTCTGTCCACTGATCACACCCCCTGTGGCATCCTCTCTTCTTGCTCCTGCTCACCGCACACATCCCTTGGTGGCTTCTCTTCCTGCTCACTTGTCACACAGCCCTCAATGTCCTCTCCTTCCCAAACCTGTTATCTGATCACAATGCCCCCAGCGTTCTCTCCTTCCTCACACTGATCTCACTGGGTCTGTTGTCCTCTTTTCTTAATCCCGCTCACTGATGACATGGACCTCGGTGTCCTCTCTTCCCGCTCCTGCACATAGATTGCTCAGTCCGCAGCATGCTCTCCTTCTACTCCCACCCACTGATCACATAGCCCCTGATGTCCTGTCCTCTCACTCCCTGGTCACACAACCCTTGCTGTCCTCTCCTCTTGCTCACTAAACACACCCCTGGTGCTCTCTCATTCTATTCCTGTTCACTGGCCATAAAGCCCCTGGCGTCCTCTCCGCTTGGTCTGGCTCACACTGCTCTCAGTGTCCTCTCTTCCTGATCCCTCTCACTGACCGCACAGCCCTTAGCGTCCTAGGTACGCATAGAGCCCCGGTCACAATACCTCAATATTTACTGTGCCTCGGTCATAATACCTCAGTACTCACAGAACACTATTCACAATACCTCAGCACTCACTGTGCCTCTAGTCACAACACCTCAGTACTCACAGCACCCAAGTCAAAATACCTCAGAAGAATATTTTAATGTCTCTCCGAGTTAAAAAGCTTGAGAATGGCTGACCAACACACTGGATTTTGGGTATCTTAATACTTTGCAGAACCTGAAAAAGTCTTAGCTAAAATCCATACTTGGTTCAAAGATGACTACATTAGCACGTCATTGTAACAGTTGCTTGGTTTCATTGGCACCTTATTTCAATGCCATAATGAGAGATTGGATTAAAAAAAAGTGGCTGACAGGAAACTGCAGCTATAAACATCAAGTTCAGTACATCCTATAGAGAAACATCATACAATACATTAGCTGCTTCCTGTGACATTATTTTGACCCTTATCTTTGTAATATATTACTATAGGTTTTTACTGTTGACCTTTAGTATTATCTTCTACATATAAAGGTTCATGTTCATTTTAGATGTCACCATATTCACAATATGTGCTTTTTACTCAAACCCTGGGAGTTATAGGAATAATTTCCTTCCATGCTCCGTCTATTAATTATGCATCATTTACAGAGAAAGCAAGCAGAAAAAGCAAAGTAAACTGTTATCGTGTGACAGTAAATGGTAAATGATCCATACAAAATGGAATACCAACTTAACGCAAAGATAACGTGCTGACCAAGGATGATGCGTTGTCTGGTGTCATGAAAAATTACCTTATTTACATTGGAGATAGCTGTGAATGAGGATTTGCTATATTATAAGGTGTGTGAGTCATAGTTCAAAGTAACATCTCCAACAGCTGAATACGCACCACCTGTTGTTTCCATCATATATGGCTCTATATTACACTAAATTACAAAGTAAGTGGTCAATAAGTACTTATGGCCTCCCTCTTCCCCTGTAAAAGTACATATTACAGTTAAAGAATGTACCCTAGCTATTACCAAATAACCACCCATTATCTCTGCTTAGTCACGGTTAGATACAAAAGCTACTTAGACTTGCCTCATACAGAGTATAGTTCCCTTTTTTTTTTTTTTTTTTACAAAAATACATATTTTTAGCAAAAAGTATGTAGGCAAAGCACACACCCCCTTTATGTGGGGTATGAAGAATTAACAAACTAAAAATAATTAGTTAGACCTACAAGTTCTACTTTTTCTTTAGGTTCCATACACATGGGGCATTTAGCCCTGTGTATGAGATTCTGGCATTTTTCTGCAGGCGCAAGGCACAGGTGTGCCATCCAGCCATGCTGCCACAGCCTGCAAAGGTCTAGTGGAGAGCATAGCCCACATGGAAGAAAAATATATTTGAAATATATTTAAAAAATATTCTTCCCACATATATTGACATATATTTGAAATACTACAATTTTGGCCGTATTCAATATATTTCAAAATATATTTCAATAAATAAATAAAGAAAGAATTTTTTTTAACATATAGAGTATAAATATATATATATATATATATATATATATATATATTTATACTCTATGTTGAAATGCATTTTTATTACAAAATATATGAAAAAATATTTTTAAAAATACATTCTCAAATATACTGTATGTCTTTAAAAATACATTTCAATCTACATTTTTGGAATGCATTTACAAATATATGTACAAATATATGTTAAAATTACTTTTGTATATGTTAAAAAAATCTGAAGAATATATTAAAAAAATATATATTTTTAAAAACATTTGAAATATATTGTGTAATATATTTCAACATGCAGTATGTATATATATTTAAAATATATCTTTCTTCCATGTGGGATGTCATGTGTCATGTGACTCATTAGTGTTACAAGGTCTCAGGTGTGAATGGGGAGCAGGTGTGTTAAATTTGGTTATCGCTATCACTCTCTCATACTGGTCACTAGAAGTTCAACATGGCACCTCATGGCAAATAACTCTCTGAGGATCTGAAAAAAGAATTGTAGCTCTACATAAAGATGGCCTAGGCTATAAGATTGCCAAGACCCTGAAAGTGAGCTGCAGCACAGTGGCCAAGACCATACAGCAGTTTAACAGGACGGGTTCCACTCAGAACAGGCCTCGCCATGGTCGACCAAAGAAGTTGAGTGCACGTGATCAGCGTCATATCCAGAGGTTGTCTTTGGGAAATAGACGTATGAGTGCTGCCAGCATTGCTGCAGAGGTTGAAGGGGTGGGGGGTCAGTCTGTCAGTGCTCAGACCATACACTGCACACTGCATCAAATTGGTCTGCATGGCTGTCGTCCCAGAAGGAAGCCTCTTCTAAAGATGATGCACAAGAAAGCCTGCAAACAGTTTGCTGAAGACAAGCAGACTAAGGATATGGATTAGTGGAGCCATGTTCTGTGGTTTGATGAGACCAAGATACACTGATTTGGTTCAGATGGTGTTTTATTGGGGCATTAGAGAGGCCTGCAGAGCACTTGCCCTGTTCGCGACCCACTGACCATATTGAAGGGCTCTTTTCAGCCCCTTGTTATATTCCTGCCACAAAAGAGAGTGCAGCCGCAGATCACGTGAATTCAGTGTTTCAGTAAACCCTGGTGGGTTCCACCCTATGAAAGGGTTTAATTAAAGAGACTTCTTTTAGATTTCTACAAACAAGCTAATTCAAAAAATGAAGCATGTTCCCTGCCGGTACATGTGCACTGAAGCAGAGCCCAACTGCCTCTAAATGTGGCTCATTTTATTCCAGTCTGAGAGCTGTTCTGAAACCAAGTAGAAAACAATGCTGATATTTATGCTAGTTACATTTGAAAATAAACTTCTTTTTGCCTATCAATTACGGGCTTCATGGGCTGAAGAAGGGATGAGATTTGGAGGTATACAAGTACAGGTACTTGATTCTGCCTCTGCGAGCTGCCCATAAGCAGTAAAACGAGGGTAGGCAGTCAGCAAGTGGTTAATTTCCACATTTAATTTCAATTATTTGTAGCCTACTTCAGTTAGGCCCAATTCACATTGGTGAATAGTTTTCCGAAATGGGATAAACAGGTTTTGCGTGCAGCCCTGTGCCGGCAGTCCTATAGATGTCTATGGGGAAACGGCTGTGCCCCAATGTGACATCCATGTGGGTGCGGGGACACCATGGGATATGTAGTTTTTAGAAACTGAAAGTAAACAGCAGAAGAGAAGCTGCAAAGCATGCTGGGAATTCAGGAAGCTGTGGAAAGAGATGAGCAGCAGACAGCCAGAACTCACAACTTCAAAGATTATATTGGATTGTCAAAAATAACTATTGTTTGTGTTGATATTGTGTGTATTGAATGCTGATGTTAAAAAATGAAAGTGTATGATGTGACCATAGAACTCCTTTTAAAGCCTAGATTTAGTTAAAAAATAATCACCAGGACATGTTTTACCATCAGTATGATGTATCCCTTGTGCTACTCTCCTGGTTTATGTATAATCTTCCTCCTCCAATGTCCCCCAGCTGCCACCGTGATTTTCTGGTGTGGCAGAGATTAAAAGAATGAAGGGACTTGTCATATGCATTCATCAAGCATGCCCAACCATGTCCACCCTTTCCGTCCTCCTCCTCCATTCATGACGGTTTTATGAATGGAACATGATCTTTGAATGGAGAACAGACAGATTACTGACAGGTTCACTCTCTCCATTCATAGATCAGCCAGGAGGTCAATGAGGAAAAATTTGTTTTTGGGTTTACTGACACTTTAACTGCCTCCCGCCCGCTATATAAGGAAATGACCGACGGGTGGCGGTTCTCTCATTCTGGGAGGAAGTCATATGACATCCTCCCACTCTAGCTGCGCATGCGTGCCCCCAGTGGCGCACAGTGATCGGTGGTGTGCTGCGTTCCTGGGACACAGTGCATCACCGATCACACTAAAGAGCCGATGACGTAGGCCCTATCATGTGATCAGCTGTGTCCAATCACAGCTGATCGCATGTAAATAGGAAATGGCAGTTATCAGCAGTCCTGTCCTCAAGCTGACAGTGTGTGAGGAGAGGAGAGCCGGAAAGGGGAATTCCTCAGAGGGGACATCTACACTGATCATCAGGGCACTGATTATCAGTGTAGCCCCATCAGTACCACCTGTCAGTGCCCATCAATGCCACATACCAGTGTCCGTCAGTGCACATCAATGCCTCATATCAGTTCCCATCAGAGATGCCTTTCAGTGCCTACTATCAGTGCCAGTCAGTGCCGCCTATTAGTGCCAGTCAGTACCAGTCAGTGCCACCTATCAGTGTTCATCAGTGCCACCTTTCAGTGTCCATCAGTGCCGACTAACAGTTCCAATCAGTGCCACCTGTCACTGCCAGTCAATGTTACCTATCATTGCCACCTATCAGTGCTATATATGAGTGCTGCCTTTCAGTGCTCATCAGTGATGCCTGTCAATGCCAATCAGTGCCACCTATCAGTGCCTCCTCATCAGTGCCCTTATCAGTGCCCATCAGAGCAGCATATCAGTGCCCATCACTGCAGCCTCATTAGTGCACATCAATGAAGGAGAAAAATTACTTATTTACAAAATTGTATAACAGAAACTAAGAAAAAACATTTTTTTTTTCAAAATTCTCAATCTTTTTTTAGATTGTTTAGCAAAAAATAAAAAACCCAGAGGTGATTAAATACCACCAATAGAAAGCTCTATCTGTCTCAAAAAAAGATAAAAATTTTGTTTGTGTACAGTGTTGCATGACCGCACAATTGTCATTCAAAGTGTGACAGCGCTGAAAGCTAAAAATTGGCCTGGGCAGGAAGGGGGTAAGAGTGCCAGGCATGTGGTTAAAGAGTAACTCCACTTTAGTTGAGAAAAAACATCCCCCTCTGGGTGATCAATGTACTATGCAAGGATTTTAGCAAATGTTGTTGGAAATTCCTACCTTTTATAATTACGAAGAAATAGCAGTTTTTTTGGTCTGTGTCCATGTGCAAAATAAACATGAATGGAGCGATTTCAGAATTATCAATCAGCTGCTGCACTTACTGGGCTCTAATGAGCAAAATGGAATGGTCTGCATCACTTAAGATGTGATTTTCTTTTTGGGAGTACCTCACCACAAATTACATTTTTGTTGCAGGAGATGCCCAAAATCTGACTTGTATCTTAATACAGACTTCTGGGTAAATCAGTAAGCCAATCACACAAGCAAGAAATGACATTTCTTGGGGCGTGTTATACAGAAGGCCGCAAGGTTGTCATATTGCATTTAAGAGTAATTGACAGCGCTGCAGATTGAAAAGGAAAAGTAAATGTTAATAATATTAAATTACAATATAACCTATTTTAGTTACAATTGCTGTGTTTTATTGGTCATCAAGGCATAGTTTTTGGGCCGTGTTGTACATGTGATTTTGCAGTAGTGACTTGTAGCAGCTATAGCGTGGGCTCTCCCTTTGTGTTTTTGGTGTACTAAGAAAATTTGAATTGTAGTCTGTGTTGCAGAGATTCCGTGGATACAGTATGTAGCTAATCTGTTTGTTTTTTGTTTTTTTGCTACATAAGATGCAAACTACAGCACCGCCAGCTTCAGTTGTTACTCATGTTACCCTGTGCAGCTGTTGATGATCATATTAAACCAGAGTTTTGAAGAGGCAGAGAAAGAAATGATGGAGCCAACTGCAGCAGCAATCTTGTAGCTACTACAAATCATCAGAGAAAATAAAAAGCGAGATTTGTAGCTGCTACAAAGTTAGCAAAATGAAAGTGTTAGGTTTCCTTTCACACAGGTAATCTGAGCAGGTCTGCCTGTCAGATTTTCAGGTGGTCCTAATCAAAGGGTCTAAGCATTTCTACAGACAGGCATGTATAAAGGGACCTGTGTCCATTTACACTTTCCTACCTTCAGGTCCAATTCGGTCTGCTAAAAAAAAACCTAAAGAGTATCTGTCCTCTATAGTTGGGCTCTGTCCACTCTACAGAAACTGAGCAGACACAGATGTGTGAACTTGCAATGTTTATGGACCCCACCATTGCTAGCAGCAGACAGCAGATACCACTATTCCAGGAAATTTTAACATCACAGGACTCAAACTGCAATCTCTAATTAAAGGAACTTTTTCCTTTCTAAGGCCATTGGTAATCAAACTATGGTAACTACCTAAATATATGCCAGAATAAAAATTTACGTAATTCTCTGCGTACCCCTTGTAGCATCCGGGGTCCCTAGAAGGAGTTGATAGGTCAACAAGTCTTATTTTCCCCTCTTACTGCCAGTGTTACAATTAAATATCTGAAGCTTACTTCCTATGACTATATAATCTGTTAATCGTTGCTAATTGATTGTTTCTATTGTACCAGTATTCTTCTTTTATGTGTTAACTGGGGTTGTGCACCCTTAATCCATTATTTAGTTGGTCACTTCTTTTGAACAAGATAATATAAAGGTGTGACTAAAGAATTGTTTCTCTTGCATTATTAGCCTCTACTATTGAAATATGTCTAAACCCAGAGAAATATGTCTGAACCCAGAGAAATATGTCTGAGGCCAAAGAGAAGTGTATTTTATATTAAGAAGAGCGTAAGGGCTCATTTACACTTGCGGTTGGGAGCCCTAAAATGAGGTAGTTGAGCTGCCACCTTAAGCTGCAAAGACAACCCCCAGTTGCAGCATAGCCCCATTCACTTAAATGGGTTGTGTTCCATAATGGTACTTCCGGCTGAGCACGACAGGGGAGAATATTTTTGCAGCTGCATGTATATGCCCTTGTCAGGTTGCCTTTGCAGCTTAAGTTCAACCATCTTATTTTTCCGCCTCCTTTAAGCTCCAAAAGCAGCAAGACAGGGATGGGCATATGCCACGGCAGGCACCACCACCATGGAACGCAACCTATTTAAGTGACTGGGGATGTGCTGCAACTGCCCTGCAACCACATGTAATGATGGCTGTTGCAGGAGTGATGGTGCAACATTATCAGGGTTAAAAGAGGCAGTGAAGAGGTGATATATTGCCTCCTTACTGCCTGTCAAACGCCTCTGAAAAGTGATCCACCATGGATTGCCAGCCTTATATGTAAAGTTAGCCTAACAGGGGGTGTAGGAACACCTATCACCCCAAGGTGAATGAGAATCAGGAACTATGGCAGGGGGATCTTGCCACTTTAGTCTTCATTAAACTCATTCCTCCAGGTTCCATCTGAAATTGCTGTATGACTTTTGGGAAGGCACTTAAAAATAGTGTGATTTACTATTCTGTCTTAAATATTTCATCACTTCTTGGAAGTATAACAAAAGCATGGATTATTAGTGGGTCTTAAGGACCAGAACTTGGGAAGTAATGTAGAAAATCCTTTACAATTGGTTATAACTAATTGCATTTACTGTTACTGGTAATAAATACAGGATAAATGCAGGCTCATGTCACTGGTTATCCTTGGATCTCCTGATCCTGGTCACTAGATGTCACTGTTGTCCGATGTTTAGAAATGGGGTCTAGAATTGTCATGGTATGCTATGCTTTTTGCCCTTGTTGCTGTCCTTATCAGGTGTACTGTATATATTCTATACTATTGACAATGTTTCATTTAACCACTTGCCCTTCAAAGGATTTACCCCCTTCCTGACCAGGCTTTTGTTTTGCGATATGACGCTGCGTTATTTTAACTGACAATTGCGTGGTCATGCAATGCTGTACATAAATAAAATATATATCCTTTTTTTCCCCACAAATAGAGCTTTCTTTCTGTGGTATTTGATCACCTCTGTGTTTTTTTTTATTTTTTTTGCACTATAAACAATAAAAGACTGACAATTTTGAAAAACAATATTTTTGACTTTTTGCTATAAAACACGTCCAGTAAAAAAAAAAAAAAAAAATTTATTTCTTCATAAATTTAGGCTAAAATGTATTCTGCTACATGTCTTTGCTAAAAAAAAATCCCAATACGTGTAAATTAATTGGTTTATGTGAAAGTCATAGTGTGCACAAATGGCGGTATATATACTGGAATTTGTTTTGAAAATACTAGTACTACAATCAGCGACTTATAGTGGGACTGCGGTAGGCATTTTGACACTGGGTGGGAACTGATTAACTGCCACTGACATTCCCAATGACATTAATATAGTGATCAGTGCTAAAAAAAAGCACTGACACTGTACTAATGACACTGTGCAGGAAGGGGTTAACATCTGGGGCGATCAAAGGGTTCACTGTGTGCCGTGTGTGTTTTACATTTGTGTGCTGTGTGTGTGCTTTACTTGGGAAACATGCTGCTGTGTATTACTCTTCTGTGCAGAGAAATACACAGCAGAATTTCCTTGCTGGCAGGAGAGAGACCTGTGTTGTTCACACACAGGTCTTTCCCCTGTCAGTTTTACTCGGCGATTGTTGGTTGCCGGCGGGAAATCTCCAGCTGTGACCCAGTGATTGACATCCGTAGCCGCCAATGGCAAAACGGGTAGGGCGGTGCACGTGCGCACGCGCCATCTACCTGGAAATGCAGATCACGCACATATATATGATTTTGCGCAGCCCTGCCGCCCTGTAGCAGTAGGTCTACTATAAGGAGGCAGGCAAGCAGTTAAATCAGTTTTCTGGGAACATCATCTGTTGTTGTCATACACCACTGCTGTAAAAACACTGTGATCTGTAAGCACTTGTCCGATCATTTGTCACTGCTTTTTACTGTCTGTTCTTGACCCCTATTATGAGGATAAAGGTCTTATCATTTTGTGCTCAGAAATGCACATTAAAATGACACTAAACAATATCTTTATTTTTCAAATATAATTTATGCACATCCACTACTTAAAGTGGTTGTTACTAAACCCACATCAGAAAAATCAGTCTGTATATGCAGTAAAGCATGCTTGTTATACGCACTATGTTATACTAACCTATGGGGTTAACCCTCTCCATTGTGTAAAAAGGCTGTTTGATCCTGTCTTCTCTGATCCTCCCCTTCTAGAGTTCCCCATCCATCTGCTGATAGTACAGAGCTCTAGGAGTCACTCTACACATGCTCAGTTTAGTGTGTATTGCTAGAGAGTTTTTTTTTCTTTGGGAGGGTGCATGTGATCAGTATAGGGCCAATCAGCACTGTCCAGACAGAGGGCCAGGGGCTATGCAGCCTCATAGGACAGTCAGAGCAGAATGAAGACTCCTCCTACAAGCTTTAACCAGTACTCAGCTGGACATGATAGAAGTCACCAGACCAGGGGCAGACTGACAACTCATGGGGCCCCCGGGCAATAGGGGATCATGGGGCCCCTGTGTCCTTGCCCAAACTCAAAAAAGCCTATGAAAAAGGTACCAGGGGCATCTCATGGGGCCCCCTACTGACCCCGGGCCCTTGGGCAGTGCCCGAGTTTCCAAATGGTCAGTCTGCCCCTGCACCAAACTGCTCTAACTGCTTATGAGAAAAAGTATTTAGCAGTTTATATTTACTAAGATAACTGCATTTCCATGTACTTTGTGGGAGACCAGATATAGTGAATGCAGGGTCCTGGGTTTGGTAACACTTTAACCTCCCTGACGGTATTCCCGAGTGTAGCTC